AAAGTAAACCTTTGCAGAAAATGAAACGAAAAATTAATAAAAATATTTTAAAAATATGAAAACAGACTAAACTTTATGTTTTAGGCAAAAATAGGCAGCAACATCAAAATAAGCATTTTTAGGCATTATAAAATGCCATTGTTTTGGTCTAAATGTTCATGAAAAGTGTTCATACAAAATCTTAGCCGTGTATATGCCAAGGAAAAAAATAGGCATTTGCCTAAAATCTACTGTCTACTAATAACCAAGCCAGTTTAGATTGGTTGCAAGGCTTTATGACCAGGAATAAGAATTTGTCTATAAGAACACCTGAAGTGACAAGTTTGGCCCGAAGTACAAGCTTCAATAAAACAAATGTCAGGAACTTTTTCAAGAATCTAGATGTTATGAAGAGATATAAATTCACTCCAGACAGAATATATAATTGCGATGAAACAGGTTTCACTACTGTTCACAAACACCCAAACGTCATTTCTAAAAAAGGGGAAAAGCAAGTAGCCCATATGACTTCTGGTGAAAAGGAGCAGTTAGTTACTGTTATTTGTTTCATAAATGTGATGGGAAATGCATTGTCCCCTGCATTTGTATTCCCAAGACTTAATTTCAAGGATTTTTTGCTGGCAGGAGCACCTGCTAAGTCTTGGACTAGCCCATCAGAGTGGCTGGATGACAGCTGAAAATTTTTTAAAATGTTTGCAGCATTTCTCAAATTTTGCTGGGTCATCTACAAGCAATAGCCATACAGTACTCCTAATTTTGGACAATCACAACAACCACATTTCTATTGAATCGATAAAATTCGCCAAAGAAAACGGAATAGTGCTGCTAACTCAACCTCCACACACCAGCCAGCAACTGCAGCCACTGGATGTTGCCATCTATGGACCATTGAAAAGCAGATACAATGTTGCTGCAAACAACTGGATGATCAATCATGCTGGCAAATCTATGACGATTTATGATGTCCCTGCTCTTGTTATCGAGGCCTTTGATGCATCTCTTACACGAAACAACATTTTATCAGGTTTTGCAAAGATTGGAATATACCCATTCAATAGTGAAGTTTTCACAGATGATGACTTCCTGCAATCTGAAGTTACTAATTGCCCTGATCCAGAAAATCCACCCACGACCGTAACACCAATAGCATCCACTTCCACTTCTGATGTGCCTACTACATCTTCTGTGTCCAAGACACTTCCCATTTGTCCTCAAGCGTATACAAGCGGAACAAGTGTTCTTTCACCTCAGCTTGTCAAACCGTTCCCAAAAGCGTCTGCACAGAAAACAGCAAAATCTAACAGAAGAGGCTCAACAAGGATTCTTACTGATACTCCTGAAAAAGATAAAATTCAGCAAGCATTCACGGAAAAAGAGGCAAAGAAGCAAAAGAACGAGTCCAAAGAAAGGAGGACAAAATCTAAAAAGCAGTGGTTGCAATATATTCCAGAAGAAACCGAAAATGAAGATGAAGGATATCAAAGCAGCTCTTCCTCAACATCTGATGCAACAATGAGTGAGGGATCTGATATCGAAAACAGTGTCAAACATGTTCAGCCCAATGATTTTGTTTTAGTCAGATTTGCAAAAAAAACTTCTGTTGTTTACTTTGTGGGAAAAGTTTTGAAGAAACTGAGCGATGAAGACTTGAAAGTCAAGTTTATGAAAAAAATATTGGGATGTTTTCAAGTTTATATTTCCTGAGGATGATGATATCAGTGATGTCATCATGGAAGATATAATTCTAAAGCTACCTCATCCATTCCAAGCAGGAGGAACAGCAAGAGCAAGCAAACAGTTTACATTTCCCATTGATATCACCTCATATCGGCTGCGATAGATTGCGAAAAACATTCTATTGACCAAAGAAAGATGGTTTAATTATGTGATAGCCTACTGATTGTGATATTCTTTAATTATTGTTCTTTGTTTGAAAAGATTTGATAATCTTTAACTGTTTAAAATAAATGTGATGTCACATAATTCTTATTATTGAAACTGTAATTTTTAAAAATTTTAGTCTCTAGCTATCACTTTTCAGTTACAACAGAATTTGAAAACATCGAGATAACTAATTTCAAGTTTTACATCAAAACTCAGGTAGTCCCTTTCATCCCCGAGGGTGTCCCTTTCAACCCATATGTGGGAATGAAAGGGACACCTGGAGAGGTCTTTAAAAATATGAACATGCTCAACTACCAATATAATAGGATGAATTCACAATATGGTCAGAATAAAGTAAAGGTCTAATGAATCTTTTGCACTAAAAATAAAACTGATTAGAAGTAAATTTTTTCAGTGAAAAATAAAAATATGAATTTTGTCCCTTTCATCCCCACCCTCCACTACAGTATGTTGAAGAGCAACAAGTTTAAAAAAAATTGTCAATAAATATTTGTTTATTAGCACTTTTAAGGTTACTTATTGATCATTCCTCATATATAATGCAAATTACCAGTGGCATTTATTGCAAGACCAGTAAACAACATGTAAGATGACATTTTTCTCGGTACTGCACGAGCCACTGCAATACCTGGTGTTGAACAGAAAAGGCCAACAGAAGCTCTATAATAGAAAATAAACACATCTTGGAAATTCAAAATAACAATAAATTAAAGTATTAATCTAATTTTGATTCTATTACTTAATAATTATACAATTGAATTAAAATATGATATATCATATTTTAAATATTTTTGTCTCCAACAATATAACAAATTTCAATCAACTTATCAGTTTTCATAGATTTAATCTTGCATTTTATCAACAGGTGCTTTAACAGGAGTATTTTTTATCACCAAAATCAACCACAGAAATGATACCCATTTTTCACTTGGCTGACAACTATTTGTGTTTAGGCCAGCAACAAAATGTAGCCAAATTCAGCTGCAAATATGTGTTGAGAAGTGTAGTCACTGCATGGATTCTGACAAGGAAGCATATTTGTTTGTAATTTCTTTCTCCTGTGTTGTCATCATAGTAACATTCTAGGTGCACCCAATTATTGGAGTATGACAACAGTTTTCTCCCATGTTCTAATCTTCCTTATCCTATTGCTGAAGTTGTCATTCATGTAGTTCCATATTGCAGGTTCAGCTTGATCTCTGCAACTAACACGTTTTTATTAAAGGGCTCCATCATGGTAACTGATGTTGCTGAGACACAAATAAAAATTTGCCCCTTGTGAAAACAATAGCATTGCAGCTAGTGCAGTAGGATGTATTTAGTGGACAGAATAAGTGAAAATCTGCAGTATCAGTTTAAATCGAGTCAGAAAGAGAGGTTATACTTTTCCTGTTGCATTGTATGACATCTGTAAATGAGTGAGTGATATGCTACCACATACCAGTCACAAGAATTTTCTGCAGTAGATTTTGGAGACAAAAAATGCTAATGTAAAAGCATCCTATGGCAAGAATTTTGTTGGATTAAACAAAGAGAGTTTTTTAAACTCCTTTTATAAAAAGAATAAATATAAGTAGTGCTAAGAATAAATTTTAATAAAATGCTAATTAGTGCTAGACTTTCTACAGTTATTACAATTAATTTTAAGTGATCTAATTAAGGAAGAAAAAAAATTCATATCTATAAAATTTTATTTAATCATTTTAATCAAAGTGGAGTTTTAAGCCTAGATTAGACAAACAAACATTGAGTTGTTTTAAAAATTAAAAATTATTAAAAATTTATTACAATAACTCAATTTTTGTGGGCCCTTGACACTTGGGGGCCCAGGGCTTAAGCCCTATTAGTCTCTATGTAGATATAGTAACCAGAGTTAAGACGGTGTTGTGACATGCTGCTTCTTAAATAAGTTTGAAAAACTTTATTCTGCTGTTGTCATTGCCCATAAAGTTAAAAAAATGAGGCATGCTGCAATAATATCAGAGAACCTATTTGAGGCTACAGTGTGAAATAAAAATAGTTCAGCAACTTTGCTTATAGAAGTAATTTCTTTTACCTGAATATAAAAACACATTTTAAATCGAAGCAGTTGAGGTCCAAAACTAGGCGAATGTCAAAGGGATATGACGATTGTAACAATTCTGATTGTTCCATAATATTTTTTATCAGAAAACATGACAAGATATGCAAATGATAAGCCCTTAAAAAGTGTACATAATTGTTGAATGGATTGAAATCTAATAGTTAATTGATTAATTATTAAATCCACACAATTTTTTTTTTACAAATGTTTTTACAAGTTTTTATTTTGCCCTTTCTAACTTGGCATCCTCATGATTTGTACACTTGGAGCAGTTTGCCCCAACTGCTCCATGGTAGCTACACCTCTGCATGAAGGTGTTTCAAGTGAGTCCCAAGATATTAGCAGATGCCCAGAAACATTGTCAAATGGATATCTGTTTGGATTATCATCATCAGGGATTTGGATATTATCATCAGGAAGAAGAGAACTTTTTGAATTGCATTGTTGCAGTTGACAAAATGATGTGTAGATATTAACAGCCAGTGGCAAGCAATGCTCAGTGGAGTGTAAACATCCCTCATCACCATGTAAACAGAAACCCAAATGCATTGCCAGTTCCAATTCAGAAGTGCTAATGATCTTCAAGGACCTTTGCTGATACACCTCATGGAAAAAGGTGAAAGGCTGTTCTGAGAATCTAACGACATTTTTGAGACATGCCATAAAGAACTAGAAGCCTGGGTTACTTAGTGAAGGTGTCATTTTGATTCATGAAAATGCTTATATAGCTTATACAACAATGGACATAGTGCAGAGAATGTGATGGGAGGTTCTTCAGACTTTCCATATAGTCCAGATTTGTTGCCATGCAACTTGTGTGTGTTTGGGAAGATGAGTGACTGTGGAAAGTCATGTGTTCAAGATGAATGATGAGGTCTAGCAGGCTATCTGTAAGTGGTTCAAAGTACAGTAAAAGAACTTTGACCAAACCATAAAAAGTTTAGTGAGAGGATGGGATACATGTCTGAATAATTCTGGTAATTATTTCAAAAAAATTTGTGTTTATGTTCAATAAAAACATTTATCTCATTTTTTGACTAAACCTAGTAAATTATGAGATATTTAAAAGTTTTAGTTTAACAAACTTTTAAAAAAATATGTAATGAATTGATAATTCAAAAGATAATTTCAAATTAACAAACAATATTTATTAACATTGCCAAAACTTAAATTATTTCTAAAATAAAATAAAAAAATTAAATATCAATTGTTATTTATAAACAAAATTGGACTTTATTTCCAAATTTTATGTTACTAGATTAATCAGTTTCTCTATGATAATTGATATAATATCAGCTTGTCAGAGAAAAAGTTTTTTGAATGTCATCAATTTAAACAATTTCATGGAAAAATACCTGTTTCATTAATTAATTTTAGCTGTTTCTTATAATAAATGCATTATGATTCATATAAATTAATAAGAATAGTATGGAACTTGAATAATGATGATAAACTAAAATTTAACAAAAAAATAGCATACCCTGGTGTAGAAAATTTTGAATTCTCTGATGCAATAACAATATCACATGTTGCAGCCAACTGACATCCAGCAGCAGTAGCTAAACCTAAAGAATTAAAATTTAACTGTCATTTAAAACCACTTGAATTATATATTATTAAATATTTTAATAATAATCTAATAAATCAAAATAAGAACTTAGGAAAAATTACAGATTTCAAGTAAATATTATATATAAATTTATATATTAATGGGATCTATAATTTTATTTAATTATATGTTGAATGAATGCATATATAATTTAAATATATACATTCACAAAATCATTAGGTTAAATTAGATCAATTTTTGTGGTCTTGGATTAGATAATCAACAGATAATTTAAATCTTGCATTTAATGACAATTTTTTATTATAAAAAAACTACTACCAAATGACAAATGATTAATATTTAAATTTCAATATAAAATTTAAATAAAAATTTTAATGATTAAATAGTCAAACATCAGTTTTCAAACACCTCAGTTTTTGAACAATTGAGTTCACAAACAGAATTTAAAACTCATAATTGTACCAATTGTTGTATGATAACTTGATGAGAGACAAGATGGTCAACACACTAACTTCACACAGAACTTTGCTAATGGCTAAAATTATTCACTTCTACATCACTTGCAAGGCTTCATTTTTTACAAGAGAAAAATCTCTGTTTTAAGAACAAAATTTACCACTAAAAATGCTTGAAAGTTATCACATATTCAATAAATTGGTATCTAATTTTATGAAAATTATAAAACGTAACAAAGTCATTATACTGTTACTTTATTGCTTAGTGTAGCTTCTCTTTGTTTCTTTACTGGTTAATTTAAAGCAATCTCAAATATCTTATAAATAAGTTCTTCTAATTGGAGGTAAAATTCAGGTGAGTTAATAAGCATGTTTAAACGTTGTACAAAGTATGTAAATACCAATTGCTGTTCTTAGTGCTATCTGTCGGAGCTTAATAACATTGAAAGTAAAAATACGAAGCTGACAGACCATAGGATTATAAGACCTTGAAATTACAAAAGTCCATCTTGTCAATGCTAGTTTAAAAAAATTGTCATATCATAGTGATAATGTCTTACATTTACATCCATTATTATTCATAAAAGTGAAACCATTTTCATCATTTTTTTTATATTCCCAATTTTAATGATTGAGCATACCAAAGGATTAAGCTAAATCATTCATTATATCAAAATCCACTATACTGGGTAGTCACAATATTAAGAATCTGCTGTATTTAGATATTACAGATTATTAAAAATTATTCATATGTTTAACAGTGATATTCAATCTAGTATTTGAAATGCATTTAAAATTATGAAAATTACTATTTGCTTAATAATCATTAATTTCATAATTTAAAAACTAGTTTCAAAATTTAATTTATTTTGAAAATACCTTGTATCTGAGCAATAACAGGAAATGGAACTGTTCTAATGGCAGTCATTACTTCTGTACATCGACGAAATATTTCTTCATGATAATCCTTCCCAGTATTGGCTCTCTATTAAAAATAAACAAATTTAAGAAATTAATTACTTGAATGCTAGTAAAAATAATTTACTTTATAACTATGAAGTGTTCAATGAAAACAAAAACAAAATAAAAAAATTTCCTATACTTCTTCAAAAATTATCGAAAACTGTAAATACAGTAGAGCGTCATTTATCTGAAGGTCAGTTATCTGAAGGAATTTCAGTCGACAAATTTAAATTTTCGCCAGTGCTGTGACGCTGTAATCTTTGGCTATGTCTTCGGCTACTCAAATATTTTACGTTTTTGATACTAAAATAACTTCTGAAGTATAATTTTTTCTTGTTTTTATATTTTTCAATATATTTATTTTGTTTGTACAAAATAAAAAAATAATTTGACGATACAATAGTCTTCGTTAGGCTTAACATCGACGAAAATTCAACGCGAAGCGACACGCAACGGAGAAAAATTTAAACATGGGATAGATTAATATACTGTTATTGGTATATACTAATATAGTATATTAATAATGTATTTTTTTGTACATAATCAGTTATCCAAAAAATCAATTTTCCGAACAACCCCAGTCCCCAATTGATTCGGATAATCGACGCTCTACTGTATT